AACACACGCCCGTAAAAATTTATCAGACGCAAATTTTTTTGAACAAAAATCAAAGACGCGATTTGCGCCAGGCACATTCTCCCGCACGGGCAGGGAAGGAATCGCTCGAGACATAACATTTTTTGAATAAAACTTACAGACAAAAATCAAAGACGCGATTTGTGCCAGGCACATTCTCCCGCACGGGCAAGAAAAACTTGAAAGCGGGGAGCGACATTGAATTACTGCTAAAACAAAGTAAGACAAAGACGCAGTTGGCAGCCCACGAAGATTACTCCAGCATTGCCAACTGCCGGACAAAAATTCCCGCGAGTTTCCGAAATGCAGTAGGATATTTCGTAGTATTTCAAAAATTGTATTCATTTAGTTCAAGATTTCTCGCAGAACACGTGACTACGTTTTGCGAGACACTGGTCCACGCGAAAGGGGCGTATTTTCTACTTAACTCTTGACCGGAGCACCGTCGTTCCTCAGTCTCGCGCTATTTATCAAAAGGTAGGAATCGCTAATCACAATCCTGAGGCAGGAGGTACTTGCTGCCTCCATCAGCAGGGAAGGAATCGCTCGAGACATAACCTCACTGAGGATAACCGATGTCAGGGCCGAGATTTTGACTCACGACCTCGTGAATACGAAGCGGCCCTGGAAGTTTTCATCCCCGAGCGCCAGAATCTTCACTTTTACACCACGAAATTCTGTGACAGTCTGGAATACGTCGTAACCGCGGAATCTGCACGGCGGTAAGAAGTGTCTCTAATTTCGCGGCGTGCAAGCAAGGTCAGCGAAGTTGACCTTTCGCTCGGCCCATTTGGGTGGAAATCAATACTGCGGCTGAAAACTCCGCGTTCCGACGTCTGTCCCAGTCACACGCAGGGCAGAACCGCGAGCTATTATCGGCGTCCCCTTCCTGAGACACCGCGACCATCGCAATTATTACCAGTCCGCTGTTTACTCATCTCTCATTCATTATTCTGCATCGTAAGGACGGTCTTATCAACGGCTTATTTAATTTTCCTCTCACGACAAAATTCTTCTGGCCACAGCCAATCTCATGACCCCTAATGTCATGAAAACCAAAGTTCATTCTTAAACAAGGAAGACAAGTACAAATAGCCCTGATGATGGAAGCAGCAAATACCTCTGAAACGTTGGTAAACTTCGCATTCACCGCCGTCAGAACCTCGAATCCCGCACGGCGTAAAAGAGCGACGTTCAAGGTTTCCGTAAGACAATTATTTTAAAAGTTACTTGCACATAAAATTACGTTTGGCCACTAAACCTCTAAACTGCAAAATTCGCAGGGGTTAGAAGCCATTAACGGCGGGAATCCGCCAGTCGTGTTACATGAACTGGCAAGAGGATGGCTGAAGGAAGGCAGTCCTTAATGAAAGTCAAGCACAGGGACTTTTTTGTGCACTCCAGTTCCCAAGGTCTTTCGAAATCGCAACGCTGCTTCTTCTTTTAGCGAAAAACACCCGCCGTGTCCCGATTATCCCACCGGAAGAGACCTCCAATTCCGGATCAACGGTAAGACCGCGCCTTCATTTCAGGATTTCCGACTAAAACTGCGAACCAAATTCTCAGCTCCACTCACTTCATCCTCGTTCACCGACAAAAATACGTGAACGTTCCGGCCATCAATTCTTCGAGTGTGTAAATTTCACTCTCGATTGAGGACAAATATTTTTTATTATTACTGAGATCTTCAGGTTCAATTCCTGAAGGCTTTATCTCCGTTAATCAAGATTTTATATTCATAATTGTCTTATCGTCTCAAGAACACGAACCAACAGACGCCTGCTCCGAGGAAAAGGCCCTTCTTCCTACGGGGGCGATCTCGCCACGCCCTGATCACCTGAACCCAAGACGGCGTTGCAATGAACGCGAGCAGGCGATCGAAGTTACGAAACGTCGAGACATTTTCAGTTTCTGCCACCAGAGCGCGGCATCAGCTTCTCCGCTCCTACTTCATTGTCAGTGTCACTTCTGGCGACCGCTCGAGCCGGTGGAACCGCGTCTCAAAATTGGAATATGGACGTGGTTTTTCACGATTTCAAAAGCCGGGCCTGCGGCTGGGAGGCAGAACTCCGTCTTCCCTGGCGTCGGCACTGCAAGGCAATCATTAGCTTCACGCCCCGGCCAGGGCGAAGTTCTTTGTTTCGCCGAGGAAACGCACAAACGGCATCTGGTAAAATTGCGAGCCTCAAAGCTTTTACTCAGTCACTCCCGTTCTGCGTTGCGTCAGAGGAATTCAAGTACTCACATTTCTTCTTGAGCGGGTTGAGGGAGGGCTTCAGTCTCCGTCCTTGTTTGATGGACTCCATGAGCAGCTCTCGGGGGGTGGAGGCCCTGCTACGGGGCGGCGCCAGTTTGCGCTCAGACGCCTGCAACACAAACGGAATCGACCGGAAGTGCGGTTGAATAAACAAATAACAGACGGCCGCTGATCAATCTGTCACGTCCTCACGCCCTGCTTTTTAATAGCCCACGTCCATTCTCCGTGGCTAAGGGTACGCGTCGTTCTCAGTCCTTCCGCCGCCGACTCTCCGTATCCAGGGGCGGGGGGTCCTCGAATCCACAGGCCCAGAAAACACACCGCCCTACTTTTGCAGCCCAGAAGCATCTGACGCCGTTTGAGGAACTCTTTTTTTCAAACCCAAATTGGCCTGAACACAAAGAATTCTTCTGGGGCCGCCTGCCGACGTTTCGAGAACCGTCTTCAGACCCTGACGCGGCGGTGGCCCGAGAAGAATTCGTTGCACCAAGTCGCGCGGTTTCCCCTGCAGATCGCGCGCACGAACCTTGCGCAAAGGAGGTCGGGAGCGGATGAACTCGAGGATGATGGCGTGGGCGTCCTTCTTGATGCGGTGGGGGATGTCGCCGTCCACCATGACTTTGTTCAGCTTGTAGCGCCGAGACCGGATGTCGTCCATCAGAATCTCGTAAGGGGTGAGTTCGTACTCGATGGGGGTGCGACTGAAGTCCACCTTCTTCAGCTTCACGCCGTGACGCAGCTCGTGGATCACCTGGACCCAGAGCCGCGCCTGCAACACAGAAACACACGTCTCTTTTGCTCGGAACCGCTTGCAAAATTAAAATATATTAAAATAGACGCTATAAATTACGCCTGACATCGTTTGATTGGAAATAATTCCAGTGAATTTATTACTCGAAATAACTCTATCCTGAGGATGGCAGTCTTGAGAACCTCAAATCCTGCAAGAATCGTCCAGTGCTCGCGGGCGTCAAAGGAACGTCGTTGTGTTCACAAGAGATCGCAGCCAGGAAAGAAGACATTCAGCTTTTATTTAAAATTCATCTAACGCCTCGGTCTCCCAAGTGGCCTTCTCTCCTCAGGTTTTCCAAGCAAACTTCATTACGCCCTCAAAATGTGTAAGAACACGCCGTCTTCTGGGCTGTAGTGCCGTGTAGTCTGTAGAAGTTGGCCGACGTTTCAGACGCGTCTCCGGCCATCATCAAAGCGATGAGTAAGCCGCGTGCTACAAGTCTGTTACTTCTCCCAATGGCTCCCTCTCTCTCTCTGTCTCCCGCGACCCTCTCCCGCCTCCGCATTGGTCCAGCGAAGTTCCTACCTTGACGACCCCCCACCCCCCGCACCTCAGACCAATTTCACGCGCTTAGTGATGGAGGCAGTGAGCACCTCCGAAACGTCGCAACATCCCAGAAGACAGTCAACTTCACACTTGCAGCCGTGAAAAAAGAAGCTGTCACCTGCGCCAAACCCGTCAATGGTTTTGTGCACCCCTGAGTCAGCCTAAGAACGGAAATTGCGCTTTGCGATTTGTTGATCTCGTACGAAACGAAGTTTTGTTCTTTTAGCGAATCGTCTTATGGCGCTGACTCCCGAACGAGACAACGAATGAATCGGAGCAGCCGCGGTTGCAGGCCCTCCCTTTGCCACGGCGGGACGGAGGATAACGATTCTGTTGCCCGTTCAAACATCACCACAGTCGGGCGAGATGCAGGCAACAAGCACTACCTTTCATGGCAATCGAGAAATTCAGTAAAATCCCAAAACCTTCGAAGAATTAAAGGCGGTCATCGAGGAACACAAATCAGAAGGAAAAAGTGACTCCAAAGAGCACGAAATGCGGCACTCGGAATGTTACGGGGCTTCGACGATGACGACGCACGGAGCGAGAACAAACGCCTTCGAAGACAACGGACACTCCTGGAAGCTTCGGAGAAAAAACTGAAAGAAGGAGAAGGGAAAAGGTGAGAAATAACTTCGCACTTTCGCCGTCTTGGCTTGAGGCAGGCCAACCAACTGCACTTCGCCACACTGCCTGGCCAATTACATTTTCCTACCTGAAGAAAGACGAATAATTTTCGAATGTTTTGTGTCTAGTGTCGCCGGATCCGTTCGAGCCGCTCCTGTGACGTGTCCGGTTTACTGCGTCAGAACACACCGGAACATTGCCAGTCAGTTTCCGTTCGCGGGCGCCCCACTGCTCTCTGCTGGCACTACGCCCTCCTCTCACACTTCACGACCCTCGAGGGGGCCGAAGTCAACGCGAGCAATTTCCAAAAACGGCGAAAACAAAGGCGCTCAGGACGACACTTCAAAATTTGCTGCCATTACAAGAAGAAATGAAATGGAGTTTTTAAATTTGGAGAATGCATTGAACACGGCAATACAACTCCACTGACAGCTACGTTCTTGTTCTTGTTCTTGGCTGCCGAAGTCACCGGGTCGAGAGGCCGGGACCACCGCTGCGACCTTTCCTGTCCTCCGCCTCTGCTACTGCAGACGCGTCTGAATGTCCTTCGGACTTTTTGGGGTCAACATTCAACTCAGGGTGCAAGCCTCGTCTTTTCAGGACTTCCCTGAATTGGTTCCGTTTTAAGGCAGTGAGTGCACTGATGTTCCCACGTAGGGCCGATGGCA